CAAGTATTACTGATACTCTATGCAACTAAGGCATAGGACAAACTCGTAAAAATAAGGTCGATGAGTTTAAACAAATCCGATTGGTTGTTATTGGCAAGCCAAACAATTTTTTAATTATTGGTATATTTAATTTATGCAAACGCAGAGTTCGAAAAAATTGGCAACAGACAAGGCGTCTGTTGGCTTTGCAGACTGTGCAATGGATATCATATTGCTTCAATCTAAAAAATGTATTTCAAGTTAGAAACTTATTTCTTTTCAAAAACGTAATTTTAAAATAATTTACCGTGTATTAATGCGTGTTTTTAATTGATATAAATAGTAATAACAATAAAAATAACTTATTATATTCGATTGCAAAGAATAAAACAGTTAAAAAAATAACGCTATAAACATCAAATGTTTTCAAGTATTTTTTCCCACAGAGCTTATTTATTTTAGTCAAATTATAAAAACTAATATTTACTGTTTTCGAATATTGTTAAGAAACATCGAAATAGAACCATAACAAATACTTTACAAGGTGTTCGTAAATTAGTTTGTTTGTTTATTAATGTTTTTTAAGCTTCCGATGAAAAGATTTTAGCGATATTCTTTCGGAAACCTAGTTTACACCGCTATCACGATTTATTTATATATATATATATATATATATGCATATATATATATATATATATATATATATATATATATATATATATATATATATATATATATATATATATATATATATATATATATATATATATATATATATATATATATATATGTATATATATATATATGAAAAAGTAGCTAAAATTTTTACTTTAAATATCACATTCCCCATAGGCAGACTTCTAGAGTATTAAACTCCTCTAAGTATAATTTAAAGTATTGCAAACTATTAGTATTTGGAACCTAGAATATAATATCCCATATCTAAAATATCTACATTATTGTCCTGCATTATTTTAAGATGAAACTTTCATAAGCATGAACCTAAAATATTTATTATTACATGGTAACTTGATTTATAGTATACAGTTTCAAAACCGTTAAATAAATCTTCCTGCAATTTTAATATAAGTTTTTCAGATCTAGATGATACACTTCTAGGTGCCATAATTCGATGGCGCATTTTTCTATGGAAGATGTGATATTTTAGCCAGATCTAATATTTTACTTTAGATCAGTCTCAATGTTATTCATGTTTATATTTTATAATTTATGTTTTATTTATATGTGAAACATACTTGTACAATAGCTCGATGCAATATATCATTATTTTGATTGACCCTTGTACTTTGCGTCAATCAATTTATACAATAAATCAAAATTCATTTATAATTTGTTTTGCAGTTTTAAAGCTACAATTACGTTGATTTATTACTACGTACTACATAAAATATAGAGTGTTTATTTACAAAGTTTAGGTGAGTAAAAAATCAAAATTTAATGTAGATAAACTACAAACTTGTTGATGAAAAGGCAAGATATTGTAGTAAAATACTGTTAAATTGTTGTAGATTTGTCCGCTTTTACAATTATTGTAATTTTTTTATATGAGTTTACTTAAGTGAAGTATTTACACTTAGTATACACAAAATGGCTACATTTTGTAGATAAAAAAACTACACTATTTTTAAGAGTGTATCCATAATGCTCTAGTTCTTTACCTTGATATTTCTTCAAATGAAGAACACTTGGTTGTTCCACAACTAAAGACGCTAGTTAATAGCTATTATTAATGTATGCCATTAATTACGAAATAACACATTAAATCATAAACCCTGGAGCAAATATGGACTTACTCATATGTAATTTTTTTTTACTCAATGAACACAACTAAAAATTTTTTTTTTCTAAATTGTTGGGGACATGCAAAAATAACAAAAAACTATTTATGGTTGAATAAACTAAAATTTTTAACAAGATTATTATCTAAATATAGTTTCGGAATACAAATTCGCTTTCTATATTTATCATGGCATTTCCTTCTTTTTTTCATTGAAATCTTAAATACAATAAGTTATCGTAATAAATTGGTTTAATAATAATTTGTTGTATTTGTAATTACTCGCAATTCAAACCTTATATACAAAATTTTTTTAAAGGGTACAGTGCAAGTTAATTTTTGCCGTATTTTTTGTTGAGAGCAAATTATTAGCACTAAAATAATGTCGAAATCAAAACAGAGTTTTGTCGAAACAAAATATGCGAAAAACAACCAAAACAAAATTTTATTTATTCCAAAAACTAAAGCAGAACCTACACATGCGCTATATTTACAAAGTTTTTTCTCGCCTGCGTTTATTAGAAAAACTTTATTTTAATAATGACTGACAGTAGATTTCAGCTATTGATTAAGTTTGTCAACGAAGAAGTGTTATAAAAGTAAACAACTTTTGTGATTTAAAACAAAGTTTACTCGTTACCATTCCTCTTTCATATATAAGCTTCCTGCGAAAAACTTTTTCTTTCTTTTAGTGAATGTAGAGAGTAATACTCAAGAACTCAAGTAAGTTTGTTTTTATGTAAGATAAGGATTGTTATAAAATTTCAAAATGCTTTGAATTTAAAGTAAAATATTTTAGCAACTTTATTTTAAAAGTTTAATAATGTTAAAAAAGATTGATGATATGTGTTAAATTTATTATATTTATATTATAGTTATGATTTTAAATTATAGTTAGGGTTGGAAGTTTTTTATATTATTATAGTAATGATTAAAAATTATTGTTATAAATTCCTAAAGTGTTGTTGTTATAACTTCTTGAAAATTTATAAATATACGTTCATCCTACGGATATTTGTTTTTAAAAATTATGTTTTAAATGTCTTTTAAACGTTTTTTTGTTGTCTTTTAAACGTTCTTTAGTTGTCTTTTAAACGTTCTTTGGTAAAGAACGTTTAGAAAATGTTTAAAAGACATTTAAAATACATTTAGAAAGGTACTTTTAAAAACAAATGCCCGTAGAGTTAAGTCAAAACTTTCAAAAGTAATAGGTGGGTTGAATAAATAAAACCAATTTTTTTTTCAGTAATTAGTCAGTTTTACGTTAAGTCAATAAATTTGCAATTTGATTATTGTAATTTGATAATTGCAACTTCAACAATTTTGCTCAAATTTTTTTCACATAAAGTTGAATTCTAACTACTCAGCGTTTTTGAAGTATATTGCTTAACCTTATATAAATAAAATTTGAGCAATATTGCTTAACTTTTTGTTTACTTAAACCTGAACATACTTACTGAAAGAAGACCTTACGGTCTTATCATGGAGCACCGCGGGAGAGCATTTAACAGGAAGTTCACGCCTCCTTCCAAACAAATGTCGCTTGTTGGGCTGGAGCTGGGATATCTGGGTTCTGAGCCAGAACTCTAACCACTACGCCACGGCTGCTCACTTTAAACTTTAGTTACTTAGAAAACATTTTTTTTGATTCTTTTAAAATTGGTTTGGTTGTCTTTTTTATCAAATGTCGTGTTATGACATTTGAATAAAAAAAGCCACTATACCAATTTTTAAAAAATCAAAAAAAAGCATATGCTAGTTTAAGCTTCTTTTCTTGAAGAAAAGAAGCTTAAACTAACATATGCTTTTAAAATCAAGTGGTTCTATTTAATTACCGAGTTTTAATAAACCTTTTGTTGAATAATTGCAATTAATAATGGTTAAATATAAACTATGCAAACATTGCCTGGTGCAGATCTAATATAAGTAAAATTAAAAAACTGCTTATTAAACAAAAACATGCTGTCAGAATTATTTCAAATACAGGTCGATTCACACATACTAAAGAACTATTTAATAATCTTCACATACTCAATGTTTTTCAGTTAAACCTTTATTAAATTCTTATTTTTATGTACAAACTTCATGATGAAATATCACCTATAATATTTAGTACACTTTTAGATAAAATTAATCACATGTACCCTACAAGATTTTCTAAGTACAATTATGAGCAACCTAAAATGCATTATTTGGCTACCAAATTTTCTATTGCTATAAGAGGTCCTAAATTATGGAACGCTTTATCAAGTGACGAGCTGAAAAATTGTTCTTCTCTTTAACTATTCAAAAAAAAATTGAAACAAAAACTTATTGACGATGTTAATGAATTAAATTCTTTTTAAAAATTTTTTATTTTTATTTTTTTTTTATTTTTAACAATTATCTTATTAACTCTATAAACTATCCTATTAGCTTATCTATAGTTTTGATTTTTTTTTAATTTCTTTTTACTATTTTCTTTTGATTATAGGTTAGTAACTAGTCTTAACATACTTGTAAATAATTGTATTTAATTTTTTAAATGGCACAAAGTAATTGTATATTTAACTTTTAATGGTTGTACACGCTTGCTTATGAAAGCACGTCGGGGTGTAGTGATAAAGCAAGTGTTGTCTTCTTTTAACCCCGGTCATGAAGATCTTATTTATATAACACGGCATTGTATTCTTTTTTTTTTACTGACGAAATAAAAAAAAAAAAAAAAAAAATCATACAAATTATATCCAAAGATGCAAATCATAAAAAAAACTATTATTATTATTTACAGTTTTACTTTAAGCATTGTATAAGCTGTTAAACTAGTTGCGCTTTTTAATAATTTATTTTTTATTTATATGATATAAAAGAAAGATAGTAAATTCAGTTCCGAGAAGACTGAAAGCAACTACTATTGAACTAGGTTGTTGCTAGGAAGTAAATAAGAAACATACATGGTATAACATAAGTTAACAAAATAATGTTAACATGGTATAACATAGGTTAACAAAATAAGGTTAAAAAAATAATGTAGGTTGTAGATATGGCTCTTTTACTAACTTCATATTTGCTTACTACAGTATATAAGTTTTTATAAAAAAAGTAAATTAGGGTAATGTCTTAAAAGTAGTCTAAGTAATATTAGCACTTTTAAAGTTGTTTATTTACAATAATATTGGATCCAGCATAATTATTTTTGTAAATATATAAATTTTTGCATAAGATGCTCATTATACCATAATGTACTCTACACTAAGTATATTTTGAAACAGAACGTTTTTCATATTGTGCCTTTTTTTATAGTTTAAGATAAAGAACCAAGGATAAATGGATGAACTGACGATATGTATATAGCTATTTCCGTTAAGTTGATTGTACACAGCTTTAATTTTAATGTAATATTATATATAAACTGTTTTGTAACTTCTTTTTTTATAGATTCTAGTTTAGTTACTTTTTACAAAACAAGTTTTTAACAAAAAAAATTAGATTTGTCATAATATTACGGTATTACAGTTCAAAAATTATGGAGCTACACTTTTTAGTAAAGGGTATGCAGATTGTCTAAAAAAACTATTTTACTTGAAGTCCAATACTAAAACACTTTTTCATAGCTGTTTCATAAACTTTATACACTGCTATTACAGTCTATTAAATCTTGGAATGAATCCTTAATGAATCTGAACTATTTTATTATAAAATAATATTTAATCATATGTTTATAAACATATACTAAGTTACAGGGTTATTCATTCTTATATGCGCGTCTATTCATTTTTATATGCGCATTTATTCATTCTTATATGCGTTTTACAAAAGCAATTGTAAAAAAGCAATTTGAATCATTTAAGGTTAAAAACCCCTGAAAATTTTTTTTTGAGTAAATATCAATATTTTATAAATTTAACTTCATATACATAAAGTAAATAAAAAAATTAACTAAAAAAAATAAAAAAAAAAATTTTTGGGCAAAATAGTAGCTGTAGCAGGTGCCAAAAATACCAAAATATTGAAAGACCCCGGCCAACGTATCTAAAGATGTACACAATTTTAACAAAATCTTTTTTGCATACTTGTTCTAACAAGGTAATTCTGTTATATGAGCGAAGCAGATTTTTCATAATAATTTTTAATAGGCTAATATATTCGACCGAAGTACATGTAAAAAATTTGACCAAATTTTATGACTTTGTTGACCTTTTTAATTTGAGCAATTTGTTTAGAAAAAACAGTTTATTTTTTCAAAACAATTTTTTCTTATTTCCAGGTAAACGAGGTTAAAAATACTTAAAACGAAGACTTTTTACATTCGACGATGGTTTATTTAATTTAGTATAAGTTTTTTGTTTTCGATGATAGTTTATTTAATTTAGTATTAGTTCTTTCTAATTTTATTATTAAATTTCTGGATTGATTAAGTTATTATTTATCTAATTATTGATTTATCTAGATTTAAATTTAATTATTTATAAATATTATTAAAATCAAATTATACATCCCTATGGATGGAATGGAAAATAGCAGCACCAATCGTAAAACAAGAAAAATGTTACAAAAGAGAACATTGAATTGCTTAAGCATTTAATTGAAAGAAATCAATCTACAACAAGCATTTCCACTTCTCTTAATTTATCGAAGCGCGCAGTTCAAAATTTTGTCGTTAAATTAAACAGAGGATAATTCGATGACATGACTGCGTTCAAGTCGTTTTCTGATAAAAAACGAGGTAAAAGACCTATAAACTCTCAAATAAAAAATATTATAGAGTTATGCGTACAAGAAAACAATCTTTGCACGCAAGAAGCAATAAAACAATTTCATTTTGCAGCAGGCTTCAACATGTCTCAGTCTACTATTTCAAGAAAACTCAAACGCTTAGATTTATCAAGAAAACGTGTTGTGCATGTGCCGAAGTACGAAACTCAACACCAGTTATTAATGCACGCTATGCATTTGCAAGCGAAACAAACGGAACTTCAGGTGAAAAACTTATTTATTTGGATAAAATTGGATTTAATGTGCACACTAGCAGCACATATGGTTGTTTGCTAAGAGGTAAGCCAGCAATTTTAACAGTCACCTGCAAATCGTGGTAAGAGTGTTAGTTTAATTTGTGCTGTTTCAACAATGGGAGTGCTTGCTTATGAAATAAAAACTGGAGGCTGGAATGCAGATTCATTTTGTACTTTTATAACTACAATGATGGCACCAGCGATTAGAAATGCAAAGGTTGAAGCGCCGGTGCTTGTTATGGACAATTGTATATTCCACTGGAGTCTTTCTTTTAGGCAAACACTCGCCTCTCATAGCTATTAAGTATTATATTACATGGTATAGCTATTAAGTATTACAGCTATTAAATATTGATATTATTAATAATTATAAATAATTAAATTTAAATCTAGATAAAAGAATAAATATCTAGATTTAATTAGATAATTAATATCTAGATTTAATTAGAAAAATAATAACTTAATCAATCCAGAAATTTAATAATAAAATTACAAAGAACTAATACTAAATTAAATAAACTATCATCGAAAACAAAGAACTTATACTAAATTAAATAAACCATCGTCGAATGTAAAAGGTCTTCGTTTTAAGTATTTTTAACCTCGTTTACCTGGAAATAAGAAAAGTTTGTTTTAAAAAAATAAACTGTTTTTTGTAAACAAATTGCTTAAATGATTTTTTTTTGTTCAAATTGTTTTTCTACAATTGCTTTTGTAAAACACATATAAGAG